CGGGCTACCCGCTCGTCTTCTGTTCTCGGCTCCAGTTGTGAGGCTGAGATCTACGCTGGGGCTATGGCTGCACAGGAGTTACGCTGGCTCACCTACCTGCTGACCGACCTTGGAGAGCCGCCTCGTTCTCCTCCAGTCCTGTACGTAGACAACAAGGCCATGCTGGCCTTGTGTCGAGAGCAGCGACTGGAGCACAGAACGAAGCACATTGCTCTCCGCTACTTTCTTGCTCGTGAGCTACAGCAGCGTGGACAGTTGCGACTTGCGTACGTGGCCTCTGAGGCCAACACTGCTGATGTCTTCACCAAGGCACTTGCGCCTTGTGATCATCAGCGTTGTTGCACGCAGTTGGGTCTTGTGCCTGTCTTGCCTCACTTGCTCTGCTCTTGACCTTGCTTGTACCTTCACCTATATATACTCTTGCTCTTGCTTGCTTGACTCTTGTATATCTCTATATATGATCTTGCATGTGAACTGGCCTTCTGGCCTTTGAACTTGTGCTCGGAATGCGTGGTGACTTTGTGATCCACCCTGAGCTTTGCTTTGCTTTGCTTGACTGGTCTTGTGACCCCTTGTTCTCCCCCACTTTGCCTATGGGGGTGTGTCAGAACATATAGCTTACTTATTTCTGTAGGCTATAGTGGGGTATCCCATAGGGGGTACAACCCAATTAGGGTTTCCTATTTGTACCCACTTCTTTTTCATAGTCATTCACTTCTCGTTCGTACTTTCTCAGATCTGAGCGCTTCCGTTCTCCCATGCATTTGCATTTTAAGTTCCGATACTGACTGACCTGGCCAATGCACTATTTTCCATATAAATATGCATTAGATTCATTTCAAACCTTATTAGCTCACTAGATTTATATATTTCCCACCTTTTGATTGAGTGAGACCGCTAGATTCCCTTTACTTTTTGAGAAATGAGCGTTTTCGTTCTCCATGGCCGTACTTGCACTATAAGTGCGAAATGCCGGCCAGACTGGCCGATGCACCATTTTCTATACACATGTGCGTTAGTTACCTTTCAAACCCTTACGTTCAATAGATGAATATATTTCCTACTTTCTTTTTGAGCGAGACCACTTGATTCCGTGTACTATGCGTGATCTGAGTGCTTCCGTTCTCCCTGGCATTTGCATTTTATGTTCCCATACTGACCGACCTGGCCAATGCACTTTTTTCCATATAAATGTGCATTAGATACCTTTTGAACCTTATTAGCTCACTAGATTTATATATTTCCCACCTTCTGATCGAGTGAGACCGCTAGATTCCCTTTACTTTTTGAGAAATGAGCGTTTCCATTCTCCCTGGCCCTACTTGCACTATAAGTGCAAAATGCCGGCCTGACTGGCCGATGCACCATTTTCTCTACACATGTGCGTTAGTTACCTTTCAAAACCTTACATTCACCTGATTCATATATTTCCTACCTTATATTTGAGTGAGACTACTAGATTCCGTGTACTATGCGAGATCTGAGCGGTTCCGTTCTCCCAGGCATTTGCACTCTAAGTTCCTAAACTGACCAACCTGGCCAATGCACTATTTTCCATATAAATATGCATTAGATACCTTTTGAACCTTATTAGCTAACTAGATTTATCTATTTCCCACCTGATCGAGTGAGACCGCTAGATTCCCTCTACGTTTTGAGAAACGAGCGTTTCCGTTCTCCCTGGCCCTACTTGCACTAAAAGTGCGAAATTCCAGCCAGACTGCCCGATGCACCATTTTCTCTACACATGTACGTTAGTTACTTTTCAAACCCTTACGTTCCTTAGATGAATATATTTCCTACTTTCTATTTGAGTGAGACTACTAGATTATGTGTACTATGCGAGATCTGAGCGCTTCCGTTCTCCTTGGCATTTGCATTTTAAGTTCTCATACTGACCGACCTGGCCAATGCACTTTTTTCCATATAAATGTGCATTAGATACCTTTTGAACCTTATTAGCTCACTAGATTTATGTATTTCTCACCTTCTAATCGAGTGAGATTGCTAGAGTCCCTTGACTTTTTGAGAAATGAGCGTTTCCGTTCTCCTTGGCCCTACTTGCACTATAAGTGCGAAATGCTGGCTAGACTGGCCAATGCACCATTTTCTCTACACATGTGCATTAGTTACCTTCCAAACCCTTACGTTCACTAGATGAATATATTTCCTACCTTCTATTTGAGTGAGACCACTTGATTCCGTGTACTATGCGAGATCTGAGCGCTTCCGTTCTCCCTGGTATTTGCATTTTAAGTTCCCATACTGACCGACCTGGCCAATGCACTATTTTACATATAAATGTGCATTAGATACCTTTTGAACCTTATTAGCTCCCTAGATTTATATATTTCCCACCTTCTGATCGAGTGAGACCGCTAGATTCCCTTTACTTTTTGAGAAATGAGCGTTTCCGTTCTCCTTGGCCCTACTTGCACTTTAAGTGCGAAATGCCGGCCAGACTGGCCGATGCACCATTTTCTCTACACATGTGCTTTAGTTACCTTTCAAACCCTTACGTTCACTAGATGAATATATTTCCTACTTTCTAATTGAGTGAGACCACTTGATTCCGTGTACAATGCGAGATCTGAGCGCTTTTGTTCTCCCTGGCATTGGCATTTTTAGTTCCGATACTGACCGACCTGGCCAATGCACAATTTTCTCTATACATGTGCGTTAGATACCTTTCAAACCTTTTTAGCCGACTAGATTTATATATTTCCCACCTTCTGATCGAGTGAGACCGCTAGATTCCCTTTACTTTTTTGAGAAATGAGCGTTTCCGTTCTCCCTGGCCCTACTTGCACTAAAAGTGCAAAATGCCGGCCAGATTGGCCGATGCACCATTTTCTCTACACATGTGTATTAGTTACCTTTCAAACCCTTACGTTTACTCGATTTATATATTTCCTACCTTATATTTGAGTGAGACCACTAGATTCCGTGTACTATGCGTGATCTGAGCGGTTCCGTTCTCCCAGGCATTTGCACTCTAAGTTCCCATACTGACCGACTTGGCCAATGCACTATTTTCCATATAAATGTGCATTAGATACCTTTTGAACCTTATAAGCTCACTAGATTTATATATTTCCCACCTTATGATCGAGTGAGACCGCTAGATTCCCTTTACTTTTTGAGAAATGAGCGTTTCCGTTCTCCCTTGCCCTACTTGCACTATAAGTGCAAAATGCCGGCCAGACTGGCCGATGCACCATTTTCTCTACACATGTGCGTTAGTTACCTTTCAAAACCTTACATTCACTCGATTTATATATTTCCTACATTATATTTGAGTGAGACCACTAGATTCCGTGTACTATGCGAGATCTGAGCGGTTCCGTTCTCCCAGGCATTTGCACTCTAAGTTCCCATACTGACCGACCTGGCCAATGCACCATTTTCCATATATATATATCCATTAGATTCCTTTGGAACCTTATTAGCTCACTATATTTATATATTTTCCACCTTCTGATCGAGTGAGACTACTAGATTCCTTTTACTTTTTGAGAAATGAGCGTTTCCATTCTCCTTGGCCCTACTTGCACTTTAAGTGCGAAATGCCGGCCAGACTGGCCGATGCACCATTTTCTCTACACATGTGCCTTAGTTACCTTTCAAACCATTACGTTCACTAGATGAATATATTTCCTACCTTCTATTTGAGCGAGACCACTTGATTCCGTGTACTATGCGTGATCTGAGCGCTTCCGTTCTCCCATGCATTTGCATTTTAAGTTCCGATACTGACCGACCTGGCCAATGCACTATTTTCCATATAAATATGCATTAGATTCCTTTCGAACCTTATTAGCTCACTAGATTTATATATTTCCCACCTTTTGATTGAGTGAGACCGCTAGATTCCCTTTACTTTTTGAGAAATGAGCGTTTCCGTTCTCCCTGGCCCTACTTGCACTATAAGTGCAAAATGCCGGCCAGACTGGCCGATGCACCATTTTCTCTACACATGTGCGTTAGTTACCTTTCAAAACCTTACATTCACTCGATTTATATATTTCCTACCTTATATTTGAGTGAGACCACTAGATTCCGTGTACTATGCGAGATCTGAGCGGTTCCGTTCTCCTAGGCATTTGCACTCTAAGTTCCCATACTGACCGACCTGGCCAATGCACTATTTTCCATATAAATATGCATTAGATACCTTTTGAACCTTATTAGCTAACTAGATTTATATATTTCCCACATGATCGAGTGAGACCGCTAGATTCCCTCTACGTTTTGAGAAACGAGCGTTTCCGTTCTCCCTGGCCCTACTTGCACTATAAGTGCGAAATTCCGGCCAGACTGCCCGATGCACCATTTTCTCTACACATGTACGTTAGTTACCTTTCAAACCCTTACGTTCCTTAGATGAATATATTTCCTACTTTCTATTTGAGTGAGACTACTAGATTCCGTGTACTATGCGAGATCTGAGCGCTTCCGTTCTCCCTGGCATTTGCATTTTAAGTTCCCATACTGACCGACCTGGCCAATGCACTTTTTTCCATATAAATGTGCATTAGATACCTTTTGAACCTTATTAGCTCACTAGATTTATATATTTCTCACCTTCTGATCGAGTGAGACCGCTAGATTCCCTTGACTTTTTGAGAAATGAGCGTTTCCGTTCTCCTTGGCCCTACTTGCACTATAAGTGCGAAATGCTGGCCAGACTGGCCGATGCACCATTTTCTCTACACACGTGCGTTAGTTACCTTTCAAACCCTTACGTTCACTAGATGAATATATTTCCTACCTTCGATTTCAGTGAGACCACTTGATTCCGTGTACTATGCGAGATCTGAGTGCTTCCGTTCTCCCTGGCATTTGCATTTTATGTTCCCATACTGACCGACCTGGCCAATGCACTATTTTCCATATAAATGTGCATTAGATACCTTTTGAACCTTATTAGCTCACTAGATTTATATATTTCCCACCTTCTGATCGAGTGAGACCACTAGATTCCCTTTACTTTTTGAGAAATGAACGTTTCCGTTCTCCTTGGCCCTACTTGCACTATAAGTGCGAAATGCTGGCCAGACTGGCCGATGCACCATTTTCTCTACACATGTGCGTTAGTTACCTTTCAAACCCTTACGTTCACTAGATGAATATATGTCCTACCTTCTATTTGAGTGAGACCACTAGATTCTGTGTACTATGCGAGATCTGAGCGCTTCCGTTATCCCTGGCATTTGCATTTTAAGTTCCGATACTGACCGACGAGGACGTGGACGTGGACGTGGACATGGACGTGGACTTGGTCGTGGTCATGGACGTGGTCGTGGTCGTGGACCTGGACGTGGTCGTGGTGGTGGACATGGACGTGGTCGTGGACATGGACATGGACATGGACGTGGACGTGGACGTGGACGTGGACGTGGTCGTGGACGTGGATGTGGTCGTGGATGTGGACGTGGACGTGGTCGTGGTCGTGGACGTGGACGTGGACGTGGTCGTGGTCGTGGACGTGGACGTGGTCGTGGACGTGGTCGTGGACGTGGACGTGATCGTGGACGTGGACGTGGACGTGGACGTGGTCGTAGACGTGGACGTGGACGTGGTCGTGGACGTGGACGTGGAGGTGGTCGTAGACGTGGTCGTGGAGGTGGTCGTGGACGTGGACGTGGACGTGGACGTGGTCGTAGACGTGGACGTGGACGAGTTCGTGGACGTAGACGTGGACCTGGACGTGGACGTGGACGTCGACGTGGACGTGGACGTGGTCGTGGACGTGGACGTGGACGTGGACGTGGTCGTGGTCGTGGACGTGGTCGTGGACGTGGACGTGGACGTGGACGTGGACGTGGTCGTGGACGTGGTCGTGGTCGTGGACGTGGTCGTGGTCGTGGTCGTGAACATGGACGTGGACGTGGACGTGGACGTGGTCGTGGTCGTGGACGTGGTCGTGGACGTGGACGTGGTGGTGGTCGTGGACGTGGTCGTGGACATGGTCGACGTGGTCGTGGTCGTGGACGTGGACGTGGTTGTGGACGTGGACCTGGACGTGGACGTGGACGTGGTCGTGGACGTGGTCGTGGACGTGGTCGTGGACGTGGACGTGGTCGTGGACGTGGACATGGACGTGGACGTGGACGTGGACGTGGACATGGACATGGACGTGGACGTAGACATGGACGTGGACGTGGACGTGGTCGTGGACGTGGATGTAGACATAGACGTGGACGTGGACGTGGTCGTGGTCGTGGACGTGGTCGTGGACGTGGTCGTGGACGTCGACGTGGTCGTGGTCGTGGACGTGGATGTTGTCGTGGACGTGGACGTGGTCGTGGACGTGGACGTGGACGTGGACGTGGACGTGGACGTGGACGTGGACATGGAGATGGACGTGGACGTGGACGTGGACGTGGTCGTGGTCGTGGACGTGGTCATGGACGTGGTCGTGGACGTGGACGTGGCCGTGGTCGTGGACGTGGACGTGGTCGTGGTCGTGGACGTGGTCGTGGACGTGGACGTGGTCGTGGACGTGGACGTGGACGTGGACAGGGACGTGGACGTGGACGTGGACGTGGACGTGGACGTGGTCGTGGACGTGGACGTGGTCGTGGACGTGGACGTGGACGTGGACGTGGAGGACGTGGACGTGGACGTGGAGGACGTGGACGTGGACGTGGACGTGGTCGTGACATTGACGTGGACATGGACGTGGACGTGGTCGTGGACGTGGAGGACTTGGACGTGGACATGGACGTGGACGTGGACGTGGACGTGGACGTGGACGTGGACATGGTCGTGGACGTGGACGTGGACGTGGACATGGACGTGGACGTGGACGTAGACATGGTCGTGGACGTGGACGTGGACGTGGACGTGGACATGGACGTGGACGTGTGAGAATTGAAACGAGAATGAATGAATTATGAAATGAGTGAGTACAAGTACTAACCCTAATTGGGTTGTACCCCCTATGGGATACCCCACTATAGCCTACACAAATGTATAAGCTATATAGCATTCTGGCACACCCCCATAGGCAAAGTGGGGGAGAACAAGGGGTCACAAGACCAGTCAAGTAAAGCAAAGCAAAGCAAAGCAAGCTCAGGGTGGATCACAAAGTCACCACACAGTCCGAGCACAGGGTCGAGGCCACACGGCCAGTTCACATGCAAGAGTACACACATATATATAAAGCTAGACAAGCAAGAGCTCGTATATATATATGTGAGAGTACAAGCAAGGTCAAGAGGAGAGCAAGTGAGGCAAGACGGGCACAAGACCCAGCTGAGTGCAGAAGCGCTGATGATCACAAGGCGCAAGTGTCTTGGTGAAGACATCAGCAGTGTTGGCCTCAGAGGCCACGTACGCAAGCCGCAACTGTCCACGCTGCTGTAGCTCACGAGCAAGGAAGTAGCGGAGAGCAATGTGCATTGTTCTGTGCTCCAGTCGCTGCTCTCGATATAAGGCCAGCATGGCCTTGTTGTCTACGTACAGGACTGGAGGAGAACGAGGCGGCTCTCCAAGGTTGGTCAGCAGGTAGGTGAGCCAGCGAAGCTCCTGTGCAGCCATGGCCCCGGCGTAGATCTCAGCCTCACAACTGGAGCCAAGAACAGAAGACGAGCGAGTAGCCCGCCACCAAACAGAGCCGGAACCAAGGCTGAAGGTGTAACCCTGTGACGACCGCTGCGTAGCCTGGTCGTCAGCCCAAGAAGAGTCTGCGTGCCCACTGAGGACCACTGGTCTCCGCCCTCCAAGCACTAGCCCCATGCCCGACGTACTGCACAAAGAGCGCAACACCCTCTTAGCTGCAGCCATGTGCTCTCGTCGGTGTCTCCCAGGAGCAACATAGCGTGCAAGAATGCTAAGAGGGTATGCAAGGTCAGGTCGTGTGCAGGTCATCAAGTACATGAGGCAGCCAACAAGCTCTGGATACGGGCCACTCGACTCTACGGACTCATCCAAAGGCAGAGCTGAGAGCGAGTGGCGAGTAGGCAGAGGAGTGGCCTGAGGCGAGGAGTACGTGAAGCCGAAGCGCTGAAGGACCTGCTGCACCATGTGTCACTGAGTCAGGGTAATGGTGCGGCGTGCTCTGTCCCGGGTGATCTGCAAGCCAAGGTAGCTGCGCAGTTCACCCAGGTCTGTGCACGTGTGTCTCTTCTGCAGCTCGGACTTCACGTAGGTGTGTCCAGCAGTGTCAGCTGTGGCAAAGACCAAGTCGTCGACGTACACGAGGATGTAGAACGGCGGCAGAGAGGTGTCGGTGCGCAGAAACAGCGACGGGTCGGCAATAGAAGGAGCAAACCCAAGAGCTGCAAGCGTAGTCCTCAGTGTGTCGTGCCACTCACGTGGCGCCTGGCGGAGACCGTAGACTGGACGCCGGAGACTCCACTGGGTACCAGGAGGGAAAGACCCAGTGAAGCCAAGTGGGCGACACAGCCAGATCTCCTCGTGCAGGCTGCCGTGCAAGAAAGCTGTGCTGAAGTTAAGAGAGTTCAGCTCGTAGTCACGGTGAGCAGCAACGTGCAGCAGTACCCGAAGAGTGGTCATCTTCGGGGTGGAGGAGAAGGTCTGAAAGTAGTCAACTCCCTGCCGCTGACTGAAGCCACGAGCCACGTAACGCGCCTTGAAGACAGGCGGAGAACCCGGCGGCCGCTTCACCCTGAAGATCCACATGCCACTGACGATGTTCGCCCCAGGAGGGGGGACAGCGTCAACGTAGGTGCCTGTGGACTTCCAGGAAGCCATCTCTGCATCCATAGCTGCCTGCCACTGAGAGGAGTAGGGACCCTCTATCGCCTCCGCGTAAGAGCGCGGAGTCGGGATGTCAATTGCATCCGGGTCTCCCTCTAGGGTAAGCAGTACGGACATGAGATGAGGTGAAGCAGCTGCCAGACACTGGAACTCCTCCTGCCTGTCCTCAAGGACGTCCGTGCCAAGAGCACACTCACCCCCGACGGACGGAGGACAGACAGACTCAGACTCAGCGACAAGACTAGCAGCGTAGTCTAGGCGACAGTGAGCAGCAAAGTCGACGAGCTCAGCAACTAGGGCAGACGCAGCGCTGGACTCGAAAGAAGGGTCAGTGACAACAGTAGCAAGGAGACGCGTGACAGTAGGACTGGCAGCACGAAGAGAGTCCGACTTGGGGTCGGCAAGAGCAGGAAGAGAGGACTCAGGAGGAGAAGGCAAAGGGGCACGCAAAGGAGCAGTGGACGGACGCAGAGACATCCGGTGCGTGCCAGGGACAGGAGGAGGACGCTGACGCGAACCGCGACCACTAGTGCGAGTAGCACGGACAGGGGACACAGGGCGAGATGCAGGCTCACGATGCTTAGCCAGACCTCCAGTAGGACCAGTGTAGGGAGAAGGAGCAGGCAAAGGGGAGGTAGGCTGCAACTGTAGCTGGGACGGGACAGGCTGTGGACACTCTAAGGGAGGAGGAGGACCAGTAGAAGGTGGAAGACCAAGAACCTGCTGTAGGAGTGGAACGAAGTACGGTCGAGGCCGCGTGGCGACGCCAGAAGCAGCAGGGACAGTACCAGAACCCTCAGCAGGAGCACCCGCTCCAGCAGCACCACCAGTAGCTCCAGAACCTCCACCAGCACTAGGAGCACCCCCAGCAGGACCGCCAGCGGTAGTCTCAGCGCCAACACTCTCAGCAGCACCTCCAGTAGGAGCACCCGCTCCAAGAGCACCTCCAGGAGCTCCAGAACCTCCAGCAGCAACAGGAGCACCCCTAGCAGGACCGCCAGTGGTAGTCTCAGTGCCAACACCCTCAGCAGCACCAGCTCCAGTCGAACCTGCAGGCCCAGCAGCTCCAGTACTCCCAGGACAAGCACCTCCGGGACCCGCGACAGCAGCACCCTCAGTAGCCGACGAACCTCCAGCACCAGCAGCACGGCTCCAGCGCCGGGCAAACCACTCGCGCAGCTCCTGTGGAGAGAGTGGCTCCTGGCGAGACGTAGCACCCAGAGAACCTCCAGGCGGAGCACCTCCAGGCTCAGCACCCCCAAGCTCAGCACCCCCAGGCTCAGCACCCCCAGGCTCAGCACCCCCAAGCGTAGCACCCCCAGGCTCAGCACCCCCAGGCTCAGCACCCCTAGGCTCAGCACCCCCAGTAGCCGAAGAACCTCCAGCACCAGCTGCACGGCTCCAGCGCCGAGCAAACCACTCGCGCAGCTCCTGTGGAGAGAGTGGCTCCCGGCGAGACGAAGCACCCGGAGAACCTCCAGGCGGAGCACCTCCAGACTCAGCACCCCCAAGCCCGGCACCCCCAGGCAAAGCACCCCGAGGCGTAGCACCCCCAGGCTCAGCACCCCAAGGCACAGCACCCCCACGCTCAGCACCCTCAGCAACACCAGAGTCACCAGTGACCTCGACAGGCTCGACTGCATCTACCTGGGACACACCTTAAGGGGCAGGACCCTGAGGGGGGAGGGGGTCTACCTGGGGGGGATCTGGTACAAGGAAGAGCGGGGGCGGGGGGAGGGACGGAGTGCGGTAGGGGAAGAGGCGGTAGTAGGGGACCGACTCGTCGAACGTGACGTCCTGGGAGGTCAGAACACGGCGAGAGGTGGGGTGGTAGAACTGCCACCCTAGCGCGACAGGGGGGAACCCCAGGAAGACGCAAGGAGCAGCACGAGGGGACAGCATGTCTGCAGACAAGTCGCGGACAAACGCCCGAGATCCCCAGACCCGGAACGCCGACGCATCGCCAACCTTCCCCGTCCACAGCAAGGCTGGGGAGGTCTCCAGCCTGGAGACCCTTGGGTGAAGGTTGATCTGATGCGCCGCGTACCTGACCGCAAACGGCCACAAAAAATGGGGGGCAGCCGCATGCATCATAGACGTACAAGCGACGTCCATGACCATGCCAATGCGGCGCTCAGCAATCCCATTTTGCTGCGGAGAGTCCGGAAGCGTGAAGGTCTGACGGATGCCCCGTGCGCGAGAGTAGGCTCTCAGAAGGCCAGAGGAAAACTCTCCGCCTCTATCCGAGTGCAGACGCAGAACAGGAAAGTCCGAGCCAAAGCTCTGCCTGAGCTGGAGACAAGCTGCGCGGATCCAGTCGATCAGCACCTCAGTGACATCACCCTTGCTGCGCAAGGGGAAGACTGCGGTGTAACGCGAGTAGTCGTCAACAACTAGCAGGAAGTAGCGCTCGTGACCCTGTCCACGGACGCGGGCTGGGCCCCACACGTCCATGTGAAGCGTCTGCAACGGGGCCTCTGTCGGAGGAAACTGGGAGGAGTGAGGGGCAGCACGCTGGCGCCCCTCGACACAGGGGACACAGGTAGGGCCAGGGCCCTGAGGAAGGGGAGGGAGGGACCGGGGGAGACCAGAAATAAGAAGACGAGAGGCCATGCCTCTGAGCCGAAGCAGAGAGGGGTGACCAAGGCGGTGGTGCCAGAGGAGAGTCTCGTGAGACAGGAGACGACACAAACAGGGGGCAGACTCAGGACCAGACCTGGACGCTGCAGCAAACACCGACGCAGCTACCCTACCAGGCTCAACAACTGGAGGAGACGCAGTGGTCAGTGTGTACAGGCTCGACCCCGGCCGACGAGTAAACGTGGCCAGGTGTCGGCCTGTCCGAGCGTCTGTGCAGTGGGTCACCCGCTGACTCGCAGGAGTGAACTGGTGAACCCCCGCATCCTGCAGGTCAGCACCACTCACCAAGTTCGTAGAGAACGAGGGGAGGTAAAGACCAGACAGGGTGCCAGAAGTGGCCACCGGACACGGGAGGACAATGGAGAAGTGAGCAAGGACAGGGCCCCTAGAGGGGTCTGCCAGAGAGACTGCAACTGGCCGACCAAGCGGCGTGAGTGTGGTGCAGTCTCGAAAGAAGGAGCGGGAAGCCCCCGAGTCAAGGGTGAAGGTGTGAGAGGCCGGAGCCGACGCGGTACCTGAGAGAGCAGACTCACCCGCAGCTGAGGAAGCAGACTCACTAGCACCTAGAGCAGCAGCCGCACCTGTACCTGGAGCAGGAGACACACTAGCACCCAGAGCAGCAGCCGCACCAGCAGCTAGAGCAGCAGGATCTATACCCGGGTCAGGCGGTACGCACAGGTGACTGGCACGGTCAGCACTAGTAGGCAATGCATACATGGCAGTGAGAATAGCATCATAGTCAAGAGCAAATATATCTACCCTCTGCCTAAGCAACTCCACCCAGTCAGGGAGCTGAGCCTCGTCGCCAAACTCTGTACGCCAGGCGTCGCTCAGACGGGCAAAGCAGTGGGACGGTGTGTGACTAGGCGTCCCACAAGGCTGACCAGTCCAAGCATTAGTGCGAATCACGTAAGACCAGCGAACAGAACTGAGAGACCCTCCACTCTGAGCGTACCACTCACGAAGCTGCTGGGGCGTGAGAGATGCGCGTGGGCGTCGTTGGAGCTGCATCTGGCTGCCGCAAGTAAAAGCAGGAGCAGGAGTAGCAGCAGTAAGGCAGGCAGCCAAGCAAGCAGTAGGCAGCGCGCTGGTAAGGCAGGGGCTCACTAGTGGTGGGAAGAGGAGGCTCGACGACTCGGCGACTCGGTGACTTGGCGGCACGGCGGCACTGCAGCAACTGCGGCTCGGCGGCTCGGGTGACTCAGGCGGCTCGGCTGCTCGGGCGACTCGGGCGGCTCGGCGGCTCGGCGGTACGGCTGCTCGGCAGCAACTACAGCTCGGCGGCTCAGCGACCCGGCGGCTCGGGCGGCTGAGATGGCGCTGCGGCTTGGGCGGCTCGGGTGGCTCGGGCGGCTCGGGCGGCTCGGGCGGCTCGGGCGGCTCGGGCGGCTCGGGTGACTCGGCACTAGCTCGGCGGCGCCGGCGGCTCGGTGGTGACAGCGAGGCCGCCTGGGGACGGCGGCGGGGCTGGGTGGAGCGGCCACGGGGCCAGCAGAGGCGGCGCCGGGGCTGGCAGAGGTGGAGCAGGGTCGCAGGGGCGCAGGGGCAGGCGACGGGGCCAGCAGAGGCGGGGCCGGGTCGGTGCAGGGCTGCGGGGCTGCAAGGGAGGTGGCGGGGCCGCGGTGGAGAATGGCGGCAGGGGCCGCGACGAAGGGCGGCAGGGGTCGCGACGAAAGGCGGCAGGGGCCGCGACGAAGGGCGGCAGGGGCCGCAACGAAGGGCAGGGCAGCGACGAGAATGGCGGGGCCGCGACTAGAGATGGCGGGGCCGCGACGAGAGGTGGCGGAGCCGCGACGAGGGGCGGGGCCGCGACGTAGGGCGGGGCCGCGACGCAGGGCGGGGCCGCGACAAGGGGCGGGGCCGCGACGAAAGAGGCAGGGTCGCGCGCCTCGGGGCAGAGCCGCGACGTAGGGCGAGGCCGCGACGTAGGGCGGGGCCGCGACAAGGGGCGGGGCCGCGACGAAGGAGGCAGGGTCGCGCGCCTGGGGGCGCGCGCCAGAAAGAAAATCGCCGCGCGCCAACGCTGCGGGGCGTGCGACAGATCAAGTAGCAGCAGAAGCAGTAGTAGGGCCTTAGGAACAGTTCCCACGAGGGAACCTGCTCGATACCATGTGAGAATTGAAACGAGAATGAATGAACTATGAAATGAGTGAGTACAAGTACTAACCCTAATTGGGTTGTACCCCCTATGGGATACCCCACTATAGCCTACACAAATGTATAAGCTATATAACATTCTGACAGGACATGGACGTGGACGTGGACGTGGACATGGTCGTGGACGTGGACGTGGACGTGGACATGGACGTGGACGTGGACATGGACGTGGACGTGGACGTGGACGTGGACGTGGACGTGGACCTGGACGTGGACGTGGACGTGGACATGGACGTGGACGTGGACGTGGACGTGGACGTGGACCTGGACGTGGACGTGGACGTGGACGTGGACGTGGACGTGGACGTGGACGTGGACGTGGACGTGGACGTGGACGTGGACGTGGACATGGTCGTGGACGTGGACGTGGACGTGGACGTGGACGTGGACGTGGACGTGGACGTGGACATGGTCGTGGACGTGGAGGTGGACGTGGACGTGGACATGGACGTGGACGTGGACATGGACGTGGACGTGGACGTGGACGTGGACGTGGACGTGGACGTGGACGTGGACGTGGACATGGTCATGGATGTGGACGTGGACGTGGACATCGACGTGGACGTGGACGTGGACGTGGATGTGGACGTGGACGTGGACATGGTCGTGGACGTGGAGGTGGACGTGGACATGGACATGGACGTGGACGTGGACGTGGACGTGGAAGTGGACGTGGACGTGGACGTGGACGTGGACGTGGTCGTGGACGTGGACGTGGTCGTGGAGGACGTGGACGTGGACGTAAACGTGGACGTGGTTGTGGTCATGGACGTGGAGGACTTGGAGGTGGACGTGGACGTGGACGTGGACGTGGTCGTGGACGTGGACATGGTCGTGGACGTGGACGTGGACGTGGACTTGGACGTGGACATAGACGTGGACGTCGTCGTGGACGTGGACGTGGATGTGGACTTGGACGTGGACGTGGACGTGGAGGTGGACGTGGACTTGGACGTGGACGTGGACCTGGACGTGGACGTGGTCGTGGACGTGGTCGTGGACGTAAACGTGGACGTGGACGTGGTCGTGGACGTGGAGGTGGACGTGGACGTGGTCGTGGACGTGGAGGTGGACGTGGACATTGACATGGACGTGGTCGTGGACGTGGACGTGGACGTGGACGTGGTCGAGGACATGGTCGTGGACGTGGACGTGGACGTGGACGTGGACATGGTCGTGGACGTGGACGTGGACGTGGACGTGGACATGGACGTGGACGTGGACGTGGTCATGGACATGGACGTGGACGTGGACAAGGATGTGAACGTGGACGTGGTCGTGGTCGTGGACGTGGACGTGGTCATGGACGTGGACCTGGACGTGGTCATGGACGTGGTCTTGGACGTGGTCGTGGTCGTGGACGTGGACCTGGACGTGGTCGTGGACGTGGTCTTGGACGTGGACGTGGACGTAGACGTGGTCATGGACGTGGTCGTGGACGTGGACGTGGACGTGGACGTGGACGTGGACTTGGACGTGGTCGTGGACGTGGACGTGGACGTGGAAGTGGACTTGGACGTGGACGTGGACGTGGACGTAGACGTGGTTGTGGACGTGGTCGTGGACGTGGACAAGGACGTGGACATGGACGTGGACATGGACGTGGACTTGGACGTGGACGTGGACATGGACGTGGACGTGGACGTGGACGTGGACATGGACGTGGACGTGGACATGGACGTGGACGTGGACGTGGACATGGACGTGGACGTGGACGTGGACATGGTCGTGGACGTGGTCGTGGACGTGGACGTGGACGAGGACGTGGACGTGGACGTGGACATGGACGAGGACATGGACGTGGACGTGGAGGTGGACGTGGACGTGGACGTGGACGTGGACGTGAACGTGGATGTGGACGTGGACGTGGACGTGGACGTGGACTTGGACGTGGACGTGGACGTGGACATGGACATGGATGTGGACGTGGTCGTGGTCGTGGACGTGGACGTGGACGTGGACATGGACGTGGACGTGGTCGTGGACGTGGACGTAGACGTGGACGTGGTCGTAGACATGGACGTAGACTTGGACGTGGACGTGGACGTGGTCGTGGTCGTGGACGTGGTCGTGGACGTGGTCGTGGACGTGGACGTGGTCGTGGACGTAAACGTGCACGTGGACGTGGTCGTGGACGTGGACGTGGACGTGGACGTGGACTTGGATGTGGACGTGGTCGTGGACGTGGACGTGGTTGTGGTCGTGGACGTGGACGTGGACGTGGTCGTGGACGTGGACGTGGACGTGGACCTGGACGTGGACGTGGACGTGGACGTGGACGTGGACGTGGACCTGGACGTGGTCATGGACGTGGACGTGGACGTGGACATGGACGTGGACGTGGACGTGGACGTGGACGTAGACGTGGTCGTGGACGTGGACGTAGACGTGGACGTGGACGTGGACGTGGACATGGACGTGGACGTGGACGTAGACATGGACCTGGACATGGACGTGGACGTGGACGTGGACATGGACGTGGACGTGGACGTGGACGTGGACGAGGACGTGGACGTGGACAAGGACCTGGACATGGAGGTGGACATGGACATGGACGTGGAGGTGGACGTGGACGTGGACGTGGACGTGGACGGGGACGTGGACGTGGACGTGGACGTGGACATGGACGTGGAGGTGGACGTGGACGTGGACATGGACGTGGACGTGGACATGGACATGGACGTGGACGTGGACGTGGACGTGGACATGGACGTGGACGTGGACGTGGACATGGACGTGGACATGGACGTGGACGTGGACGTGGACGTGGACCTGGACGTGGACGTGGACGTGGAAGTGGACGTGGACGTGGACGTGGACGTGGTCGTGGACGTGGACGTGGTCGTGGAGGACGTGGACGTGGACGTAAACGTGGACGTGGACGTGGTCATGGACGTGGAGGACTTGGAGGTGGACGTGGACATGGACGTGGACGTGGTCGTGGACGTGGACATGGTCGTGGACGTGGACGTGGACGTGGACTTGGACGTGGACATGGACGTGGACGTCGTCGTGGACGTGGACGTGGATGTGGACTTGGACGTGGACGTGGACGTGGAGGTGGACGTGGACTTGGACGTGGACGTGGACCTGGACGTGGACGTGGTCGTGGACGTGGTCGTGGACGTAAACGTGGACGTGGACGTGGTCGTGGACGTGGAGGTGGACGTGGACGTGGTCGTGGACGTGGAGGTGGACGTGGATATTGACGTGGACGTGGTCGTGGACGTGGACGTGGACGTGGACGTGGTCGAGGACGTGGTCGTGGACGTGGACGTGAACGTGGACATGGTCGTGGACGTGGACGTGGACGTGGACGTGGACGTGGACATGGACGTGGACGTGGACGTGGTCATGGACATGGACGTGGACGTGGACAAGGATGTGAACGTGGACGTGGTCGTGGACGTGGACGTGGTCATGGACGTGGATGTGGACGTGGACGTGGTCATGGACATGGACGTGGTCGTGGTCGTGGACGTGGACCTGGACGTGGTCGTGGACGTGGTCTTGGACGTGGACGTGGACATAGACGTGGTCGTGGACGTGGACGTGGACGTGGACGTGGTCGTGGACGTCGACGTGGACGTGGACGTGGACGTGGACGTGGACTTGGACGTGGTCGTGGACGTGGACGTGGACTTGGACGTGGACGTGGACGTAGACGTGGTTGTGGACGTGGTCGTCGACGTGGAGGTGGACGTGGACATGGACGTGGACATGGACGTGGACATGGACGTGGACATGGACGTGGACTTGGACGTGGACGTGGACATGGACGTGGACGTGGACGTGGACGTGGACATGGACGTGGACGTGGACATGGACGTGGACGTGGACGTGGACATGGACGTGGACGTGGACGTGGACATGGTCGTGGACGTGGTCGTGGACGTGGACGTGGACGTGGACGTGGACGTGGACATGGACGTGGACGTGGACGTGGACGTGGAGGTGGACATGGACGTGGACGTGGACGTGGACGTGGACGTGGACTTGGACGTGGACGTGGACGTGGACATGGACATGGATGTGGACGTGGTCGTGGACATGGACGTGGTCGTGGACGTGGACGTGGACCTCGACGTGGTCGTGGACGTGGACGTGGACGTGGTCGTGGACGTGGACGGGGACGTGGACATGGAGGACGTGGACGTGGAGGACGTGGACGTGGACGTGGAGGACGTGGACGTGGACGTGAACGTGGACTTGGTCGTGGACGTGGACGTTGACGTGGACGTGGATGTGGACGTGGCCGTAGACGTGGAGGACTTGGACGTGGACATGGACGTGGACGTGCTTGTGGACGTGGACGTGGACGTGGACATGGACGTGGACGTGGTCGTGGACGTGGACGTAGACGTGGACGTGGTCGTAGACATGGACGTAGACATGGACGTGGACGTGGACGTGGTCGTGGACGTGGAGGATTTGGACGTGGTCGTGGACGTGGATGTTGACGTGGTCGTGGACGTGGACGTGGTCGTGGACGTGGAGGACTTGGACGTGGACATGGATGTGGATGTGGACGTGGTCGTGGACGTGGTCGTGTACGTGGACGTGGTCCTGGTCGTGGACGTGGTCGTGTACGTGGACGTGGTCCTGGTCGTGGACGTGGTCGTAGACGTGGACGTGGACATGGATGTGGACGTGGACGTGGACGTGGACGTGGACGTGGACGTGGACATGGACGTGGATGTGGACGTGGACGTGGACGTGGACGTGGACGTGGACATGGACGTGGACATGGACGTGGACGTGGACGTGGACGTGGACGTAGACATGGACGTGGACGTGGACATGGACGTGGACGTGGACGTGGACGTATACGTGGACGTGGACATGGACATGGACGTGGACGTGGACGTGGATGTGGACTTGGACGTGGACATGGACGTGGACATAGACGTGGACGTGGACGTGGACGTGGACGTGGACGTGGACGTGGACGTGGACAGGGACGTGGACGTGGACGTGGACATGGACGTGGACGTGGACGTGGACGTGGACGTGGACGTGGTCGTGGACGTGGACGTGGACGTGGACGTGGACGTGGACGTGGACGTGGACATGGACGTGGACGTGGACGTGGACGTGGACGTGGACGTGGACGTGGACGTGGACGTAAACGTGGACATGGACGTGGACGTGGACGTGGACGTGGACGTGGACGTGGTCGTGGACGTGGACATGGACGTGGACGTGGTCGTGGACGTGGACGTGGACGTAGACGTGGACGTGGACATGGACGTGGACGTGGTCGTGGACGTGGACGTGGACATGGACGTGGACGTGGTCGTGGACGTGGACGTGGACGTGGACGTGGACGTGGACATGGACGTGGACGTGGACGTGGACATGGACGTGGAAGTGGACGTGGACGTGGACGTGGACGTGGACATGGACGTGGACGTGGACGTGGACGTGGACGTGGACGTGGACGTGGACGTGGACGTGGACGTAGACGTGGACGGGGACGTGGACGTGGACGTGGACGTGGACATCGACGTGGACGGGGACGTGGACGTGGACGTGGACGTGGACGTGGACGTAGACGTGGACGGGGACGTGGACGTGGACGTGGACGTGGACATGGACGTGGACGTGGACATGGACGTGGACGTTGACGTGGACATGGACGTGGACGTGGACGTGGTCGTGGACGTGGACGTGGACGTGGACCTGGACGTGGACGTGGACGTGGACGTGGACGTGGACGTGGACGTGGACGTGGACGTGGACGTGGACGTGGACATGGACGTGGACGTGGACGTGGACATGGACGTGGACGTGGATGTGGACGTGGACGTGGACGTAGACGTGGACGTGGACATGGACGTGGACGTGGTCGTGGACGTGGACGACGTGGACGTGGTGGACGTGGACGTGGACGTGGTCGTGGACGTTGACGTGGACGTGGACGTGGTCGTAGACGTGGAGGACTTGGACATGGACATGGACATGGACGTGGACGTGGATGTTATCGTGGACGTGGACGTGGACATGGACGTGGACGTGGACGTGGACGTGGTCGTGGACGTTGACGTGGACGTGGACGTGGTCGTAGATGTGGAGGACTTGGACATGGACATGGACGTGGACGTGGACGTTATTGTGGATGTGGACGTAGACGTGGACGTGGTCGTGGTCGTCCACGACGTGGACTTGGACGTGGACGTGGTCGTGGACGTGGACGTGGACGTGGACGTGGACGTGGACGTGGACGTGGACATGGACGTCAACGTGGACGTAGACGTGGACGTGGTCTTGGACGTGGACATGGTCGTGGACGTGGACATGGACGTGGACGTGCACGTGGACGTGGACGTGGTCGTGGACGTGGACATGGTCGTGGACGTGGACGTGGACGTGGTCGTGGACGTGGAGGATTTGGACGTGGTCGTGGACGTAGATGTTGACGTGGTCGTGGACGTGGACGTGGTTGTGGACGTGGACGTGGACGACGTGGACGTAGTGGACGTGGACGTGGACGTGGAGGACGTGGACGTGGACGTGGACGTGGACGTGGTCGTGGACGTTGACGTGGACGTGGACGTTGACGTAGACGTGGACATGGACGTGGACGTGGACCTGGACCTGGATGTGGACATGGATGTGGACGTGGACGTGGACATGGACATGGACGTGGACGTGGACGTGGACGTGGACGTGGACGTGGACGTGGACGTGGACGTGGACATGGACGTGGACGTGGACGTAGACGTGGATGTGGACATAGACGTGGACGTGGACGTGGACATGGACGTGGACGTGGACTTGGACGTGGACGTGGACGTGGACGTGGACGTGGACGTGGACGTGGACGTGGACGTGGACATGGACGTAGACGTGGACATGGACGTAGATGTGGACATGGAGATGGACGTGGACGTGGACGTGGACATGGAGATGGACGTGGACGTGGACATGGACGTGGACGTGGACATGGACGTGGACGTGGACGTGGACGTGGACGTGGACATGGACGTGGACATGGACGTGGACATGGACGTGGACATGGACGTGGACGTGGACATGGACGTGGACGTGGACATGGACGTGGACGTGGACGTGGACATGGACATGGACGTGGACGTGGACATGGACGTGGACATGGACGTGGACATGGACGTGGACGTGGACGTGGACGTGAACGTGGACGTGGACGTAGACGTGGACATGGACCTGGACGTGGACATGGACGTGGACATGGACGTGGACGTGGACATGGACGTGGACATGGACGTGGACGTGGACGTGGAGGACTTGGACGTGGACATGGACGTGGACGTGGACGTGGACGTGGACATGGACGTGGACGTGGATGTGGACGTGGACGTGGACGTGGACATGGACGTGGACATGGACGTGGACGTGGACATGGACGTGGACGTGGACGTGGACGTAGACGTGGACATGGACGTGGACGTGGTCGTGGACGTGGACGTGGACGACGTGGACGTGGTGGACGTGGACGTGGACGTGGTCGTGGACGTTGACGTGGACGTGGTCGTAGACGTGGAGGACTTGGACATGGACATGGACATGGACGTGGACGTTATCGTGGACGTGGACGTGGACGTGGACGTGGACATGGACGTGGACGTGGTCGTGGACGTTGACGTGGACGTGGATGTGGTCGTAGACGTGGAGGACTTGGACATGGACATGGACGTGGACGTGGACGTTATCGTGGACGTGGACGTAGACGTGGACGTGGTCGTGGTCGTCCACGACGTGGACTTGGACGTGGACGTGGTCGTGGAAGTGGACGTGGACGTGGACGTGGTCGTGGACGTGGACGTGGACATGGTCGTGGACGTGGACGTGGACGTGGACATGGACATGGACGTGGACGTGGACGTGAACGTGGACGTGGACGTAGACGTGGACATGGACGTGGACGTGGACGTGGACGTGGACGTGGACATGGTCGTGGACGTGGACGTGGACGTGGACCTGGACGTGGACGTGGACGTGGACGTGGACGTGGACGTGGACGTGGACATGGACGTGGTCGTGGACGTGGACGTGGACGTGGACGTGGACGTGGACGTGGACGTGGACGTGGACATGGACGTGGACGTGGACGTGGATGGGACGTGGACGTGGACGTGGACATGGACGTGGACGTGGACATGGACGTGGACGTGGACGTGGACGTAGACGTGGACGTGGACATGGACGTGGACGTGGTCGTGGACGTGGACGTGGACGACGTGGACGTGGTGGACGTGGACGTGGACGTGGACGTGGACATGGACGTGGACGTGGACATGGACGTGGACGTGGACATGGACATGGACATGGACGTGGACATGGACATGGACGTGGACGTGGACGTGAACGTGGACGTGGACGTAGACGTGGACATGGACCTGGATGTGGACATGGACGTGGACATGGACGTGGACGTGGACATGGACGTGGACATGGACGTGGACGTGGACGTGGAGGACTTGGACGTGGACGTGGACGTGGACGTGGACGTGGACATGGACGTGGACGTGGATGTGGACGTGGACGTGGACGTGGACATGGACGTGGACATGGACGTGGACGTGGACATGGACGTGGACGTGGACGTGGACGTAGACGTGGACGTGGACATGGACGTGGACGTGGTCGTGGACGTGGACGTGGACGACGTGGACGTGGTGGACGTGGACGTGGACGTGGACGTGGTCGTGGACGTTGACGTGGACGTGGTCGTAGACGTGGAGGACTTGGACATGGACATGGACATGGACGTGGACGTTATCGTGGACGTGGACGTGGACGTGGACGTGGACGTGGACATGGACGTGGACGTGGTCGTGGACGTTGACGTCGACGTGGATGTGGTCGTAGACGTGGAGGACTTGGACATGGACATGGACGTGGACGTGGACGTTATCGTGGACGTGGACGTAGACGTGGACGTGGACATGGACGTGGACGTGGACGTAGACGTGGACGTGGACATGGACGTGGACGTGGACATGGACGTGGACGTGGACATGGACATGGACGTGGACATGGACATGGACGTGGACGTGGACGTGAACGTGGACGTGGACGTAGACGTGGACATGGACCTGGACGTGGACATGGACGTGGACATGGACGTGGACGTGGACATGGACGTGGACATGGACGTGGACGTGGACGTGGAGGACTTGGACGTGGACATGGACGTGGACGTGGACGTGGACGTGGACGTGGACATGGACGTGGACGTGGATGTGGACATGGACGTGGACATGGACATGGACGTGGACATGGACGTGGACGTGGACATGGACGTGGACGTGGACGTGGACGTAGACGTGGACGTGGACATGGACGTGGACGTGGTCGTGGACGTGGACGTGGACGACGTGGACGTGGTGGACGTGGACGTGGACGTGGACGTGGTCGTGGACGTTGACGTGGACGTGGTCGTAGACATGGAGGACTTGGACATGGACATGGACATGGACGTGGACGTTATCGTGGACGTGGACGTGGACGTGGACGTGGACGTGGACGTGGACGTGGACATGGACGTGGACGTGGTCGTGGACGTTGACGTGGACGTGGATGTGGTCGTAGACGTGGAGGACTTGGACATGGACATGGACGTGGACGTGGACGTTATCGTGGACGTGGACGTAGACGTGGACGTGGTCGTGGTTGTCCACGACGTGGACTTGGACGTGGACGTGGTCGTGGAAGTGGACGTGGACGTGGACGTGGTCGTGGACGTGGACGTGGACATGGTCGTGGACGTGGACGTGGACGTGGACATGGATATGGACGTGGACGTGGACGTGAACGTGGACGTGGACATGGACGTAGACGTGGACGTGGACGTAGACGTGGACGTGGACGTGGACATGGTCGTGGACGTGGACGTGGACGTGGACATGGACGTGGACGTGGACGTGGACGTGGACCTGGACGTGGACGTGGACATGGACGTGGTCGTGGACGTGGACGTGGACGTGGACGTGGACGTGGACGTGGACGTGGACGTGGACATGGACGTGGACGTGACGTGGCCGTGGACGTGGACGTGGACGTGGACGTGGACGTGGACGTGGTCGTGGACGTGGACGTAGACGTGGACATGGACGTGGACGTGGACGTGGACGTTGACGTGGACATGGACGTGGACGTGGACGTGGACGTGGACGTGGACGTGGATGGGACGTGGACGTGGACGTGGACATGGACGTGGATGGGACGTGGACGTGGACGTGGACGTGGACGTGGACGTGGTCGTGGACGTGGAAATGGACGTGGACGTGGTCGTGGACGTGGACGTGGACGACGTGGACGTGGTGGACGTGGACGTGGACGTGGACGTGGTCGTGGACGTTGACGTGGACGTGGTCGTAGACGTGGAGGACTTGGACATGGACATGGACATGGACGTGGACATTATCGTGGACGTGGACGTGGACGTGGACGTGGACGTGGACCTGGACGTGGACGTGGTCGTGGACGTTGACGTGGACGTGGATGTGGTCGTAGACGTGGAGGACTTGGACATGGACATGGACGTGGACGTGGACGTGGACGTAGACGTGGACGTGGACATGGACGTGGACGTGGTCGTGGACGTGGACGTGGACGACGTGGACGTGGTGGACGTGGACGTGGACGTGGACGTGGACATGGACGTGGACGTGGACATGGACGTGGACGTGGACATGGACATGGACATGGACGTGGACATGGACATGGACGTGGACGTGGACGTGAACGTGGACGTGGACGTAGACGTGGACATGGACCTGGACGTGGACATGGACGTGGACATGGACGTGGACGTGGACATGGACGTGGACATGGACGTGGACGTGGACGTGGAGGACTTGGACGTGGACGTGGACGTGGACGTGGACGTGGACATGGACGTGGACGTGGATGTGGACGTGGACGTGGACGTGGACATGGACGTGGACATGGACGTGGACGTGGACATGGACGTGGACGTGGACGTGGACGTAGACGTGGACGTGGACATGGACGTGGACGTGGTCGTGGACGTGGACGTGGACGACGTGGACGTGGTGGACGTGGACGTGGACGTGGACGTGGACGTTGACGTGGACGTGGTCGTAGACGTGGAGGACTTGGACATGGACATGGACATGGACGTGGACGTTATCGTGGACGTGGACGTGGACGTGGACGTGGACGTGGACGTGGACATGGACGTGGACGTGGTCGTGGACGTTGACGTTGACGTGGATGTGGTCGTAGACGTGGAGGACTTGGACATGGACATGGACGTGGACGGGGACGTTATCGTGGACGTGGACGTAGACGTGGACGTGGACATGGACGTGGACGTGGACGTAGACGTGGACGTGGACATGGACGTGGACGTGGACATGGACGTGGACGTGGACATGGACATGGACGTGGACATGGACATGGACGTGGACGTGGACGTGAACGTGGACGTGGACGTAGACGTGGACATGGACCTGGACGTGGACATGGACGTGGACATGGACGTGGACGTGGACATGGACGTGGACATGGACGTGGACGTGGACGTGGAGGACTTGGACGTGGACATGGACGTGGACGTGGACGTGGACGTGGACATGGACGTGGACGTGGATGTGGACGTGGACGTGGACATGGACATGGACGTGGACATGGACGTGGACGTGGACATGGACGTGGACGTGGACGTGGACGTAGACGTGGACGTGGACATGGACGTGGACGTGGTCGTGGACGTGGACGTGGACGACGTGGACGTGGTGGACGTGGACGTGGACGTGGACGTGGTCGTGGACGTTGACGTGGACGTGGTCGTAGACATGGAGGACTTGGACATGGACATGGACATGGACGTAGACGTTATCATGGACGTGGACGTGGACGTGGACGTGGACGTGGACGTGGACATGGACGTGGACGTGGTCGTGGACGTTGACGTGGACGTGGATGTGGTCGTAGACGTGGAGGACTTGGACATGGACATGGACGTGGACGTGGACGTTATCGTGGACGAGGACGTAGACGTGGACGTGGTCGTGGTTGTCCACGACGTGGACTTGGACGTGGACGTGGTCGTGGAAGTGGACGTGGACGTGGACGTGGTCGTGGACGTGGACGTGGACATGGTCGTGGACGTGGACGTGGACGTGGACATGGACATGGACGTGGACGTGGACGTGAACGTGGACGTGGACATGGACGTAGACGTGGACGTGGACGTAGACGTGGACGTGGACGTGGACGTGGACATGGTCGTGGACGTGGACGTGGACGTGGACATGGACGTGGACGTGGACGTGGACGTGGACTTGGACGTGGACGTGGACATGGACGTGGTCGTGGACGTGGACGTGGACGTGGACGTGGACGTGGACGTGGACGTGGACATGGACGTGGACGTGACGTGGCCGTGGACGTGGACGTGGACGTGGACGTGGACGTGGACGTGGTCGTGGACGTGGACGTAGACGTGGACATGGACGTGGACCTGGACGTGGACGTTGACGTGGACATGGACGTGGACGTGGACGTGGACGTGGACGTGGACGTGGATGGGACGTGGACGTGGACGTGGACATGGACGTGGATGGGACGTGGACGTGGACGTGGACGTGGACGTGGACGTGGTCATGGACGTGGAAATGGACGTGGACGTGGTCGTGGACGTGGACGTGGACGACGTGGACGTGGTGGACGTGGACGTGGACGTGGACGTGGTCGTGGACGTTGACGTGGACGTGGTCGTAGACGTGGAGGACTTGGACATGGACATGGACATGGACGTGGACATTATCGTGGACGTGGACGTGGACGTGGACGTGGACGTGGACCTGGACGTGGACGTGGTCGTGGACGTTGACGTGGACGTGGATGTGGTCGTAGACGTGGAGGACTTGGACATGGACATGGACGTGGACGTGGACGTTATCGTGGACGTGGACGTAGACGTGGACGTGGTCGTGGTCGTCCACGACGTGGACTTGGACGTGGACGTGGTCGTGGAAGTGGACGTGGATGTGGACGTGGTCGTGGATGTGGACGTGGACATGGTCGTGGACGTGGACGTGGACGTGGACATGGACATGGACGTGGACGTGGACGTGAACCTGGACGTGGACGTAGACGTGGACGTGGACGTGGACGTGGACGTGGACGTGGACGTGGACGTGGACGTGGACATGGACGTGGTCGTGGACGTGGACGTGGACGTGGACGTGGACGTAGACGTGGACGTGGACGTGGACGTGGACGTGACGTGGACGTGGACATGGTCGTGGACGTGGACGTGGACGTGGACGTGGACATGGACGTGGACGTGGACGTGGACGTGGACGTGGACATGGACGTGGACGTGGACGTGGACGTGGACATGGACGTGGACGTGGACGTGGACGAAGACGTGGACGTGGACATGGACGTGGACATGGACATGGACGTGGACGTGGAAGTGGACGTGGACGTGGACGTGGACGTGGACGTGGACATGGACATGGACGTGGACGTGGACGTGGACATGGACGTGGACGTGACGTGGACGTGGACATGGTCGTGGACGTGGACGTGGACGTGGACATGGACGTCAACGTGGACGTGGACGTGGACGTGGTCATGGACGTGGACATGGTCGTGGACGTGGACATGGACGTGGACGTGCACGTGGACGTGGACGTGGTCGTGGACGTGGACATGGTCGTGGACGTGGACGTGGACGTGGTCGTGGACGTGGAGGATTTGGACGTGGTCGTGGACGTGGATGTTGACGTGGTCGTGGACGTGGACGTGGTCGTGGACGTGGAGGACTTGGACGTGGACATGGACGTGGATGTGGACGTGGTCGTGGACGTGGTCGTGTACGTGGACGTGGTCCTGGTCGTGGACGTGGTCGTAGACGTGGACGTGGACATGGAGGTGGACGTGGACGTGGACGTGGACGTGGACGTGGACGTGGACGTGGACGTGGACGTGGACGTGGACATGGACGTGGACATGGACGTGGACGTGGACGTGGACGTAGACATGGACGTGGACGTGGACATGGACGTGGACGTGGACGTATACGTGGACGTGGACATGGACATGGACGTGGACGTGGACGTGGATGTGGACTTGGACGTGGACATGGACGTGGACATAGACGTGGACGTGGACGTGGACGTGGACGTGGACGTGGACAGGGACGTGGACGTGGACGTGGACATGGACGTGGACGTGGACGTGGACGTGGACGTGGACGTGGTCGTGGACGTGGACGTGGACGTGGACGTGGTCGTGGACGTGGACGTGGACGTGGACGTGGATGTGGACGTGGACGTGGACGTGGACGTGGACATGGACGTGGACGTGGACGTGGACGTAAACGTGGACATGGACGTGGACGTGGACGTGGACGTGGACGTAGACGTGGACGTGGACGTGGTCGTGGACGTGGACGTGGACATGGACGTGGACGTGGTCGTGGACGTGGACGTGGACGTAGACGTGGACGTGGACATGAACGTGGACGTGGACGTGGACATGGACGTGGACGTGGACGTGGACGTGGACGTGGACGGGGACGTGGACGTGGACGTGGACATGGACGTGGACGGGGACGTGGACGTGGACGTGGACGTGGACATGGACGTGGACGTGGACGTGGACGTGGACGTGGACGTGGACGTGGACATGGTCGTGGACATGGTCGTGGACGTGGACGTGGACGTGGTCGTGGACGTGGACGTGGACGTGGACATGGACGTGGACGTGGACGTGGACGTGGACGTGGAAGTGGACGTGGACGTGGACGTGGACGTGGACATGGACGTGGACGTGGACGTGGACGTAGACGTGGACGTGGACATGGACGTGGACGTGGTCATGGACGTGGACGACGTGGACGTGGTGGACATGGACGTGGACGTGGTCGTGGACGTTGACGTGGACGTGGACGTGGTCGTAGACGTGGAGGACTTGGATATGGACATGGACATGGACGTGGACGTGGACGTTATCGTGGACGTGGACGTGGACGTGGACGTGGTCGTGGACGTTGACGTGGACGTGGACGTGGTCGTAGATGTGGAGGACTTAGACATGGACATGGACGTGGACGTGGACGTTATTGTGGATGTGGACGTAGACGTGGACGTGGTCGTGGTCGTCCACGACGTGGACTTGGACGTGGACGTGGTCGTGGACGTGGACGTGGACGTGGACGTGGACGTGGACATGGACGTCAACGTGGACGTAGACGTGGACGTGCTCGTGGACGTGGACATGGTCGTGGACGTGGACATGGACGTGGACGTGCACGTGGACGTGGACGTGGTCGTGGACGTGGACATGGTCGTGGACGTGGACGTGGACGTGGTCGTGGACGTGGAGGATTTGGACGTGGTCGTGGACGTGGATGTTGAGGTGGTCGTGGACGTGGACGTGGTCGTGGACGTGGACGTGGACGACGTGGACGTAGTGGACGTGGACGTGGACGTGGAGGACGTGGACGTGGACGTGGACGTGGACGTGGTCGTGGACGTTGACGTGGACGTGGACGTTGACGTGGACGTGGTTGAGGACGTGGACGTGGATGTGGACGTGGACATGGACGTGGACGTGGACCTGGACCTGGACGTGGACATGGACGTGGACGTGGACATGGACGTGGACGTGGACGTGGACGTGGACATGGACGTGGACATGGACGTGGACGCGGACGTGGACATGGACGTGGACGTGGACGTGGACGTGGACGTGGATGTGGACATGGACGTGGACGTGGACGTGGACGTGGACGTGGACGTGGACTTGGACGTGGACTTGGACGTGGACGTGGACGTGGACGTGGACGTGGACGTGGACGTGGACTTGGACGTGGACGTGGACGTGGACGTGGACGTGGACGTAGACGTGGACGTGGACATGGAGATGGACGTGGACGTGGACGTGGACATGGACGTGGACGTGGACGTGGACGTGGACGTGGACGTGGACATGGACGTGGACGTGGACATGGACGTGGACGTGGACGTGGACGTAGACGTGGACATGGACATGGACGTGGACGTGGACGTGGACGTGGACGTGGACATGGACGTGGACATGGACGTGGACGTGGACGTGGACGTGGACGTGGACGTGGACATGGACGTAAACGTGGACATGGACGTGGACGTGGACGTGGACGTGGACGTTGACGTGGACGTGGACATGGACGTGGACGTGGTCGTGGACGTGGACGTGGACGACGTGGACATGGTGGACGTGGACGTCGACGTGGAGGACGTGGACGTCGACGTGGACGTGGTCGTGGACGTTGACGTGGACGTGGACGTTGACGTGGACGTGGTTGTGGACGTGGACGTGGACGTGGACATGGACGTGGACGTGGACGTGGACATGGACGTGGACGTGGACGTGGACATGGACGTGGACGTGGACGTGGACGTGAACGTGGACGTGACATGGACGTGGACGTGGACGTGGACGTGGACGTGGACATGGACGTGGACGAGGACGTGGACGTGGACGTGGACTTGGACGTGGACATGGACATGGACGTGGACATGGACGTGGACGTGGACATGGACGTGGACGTGGACATGGACGTGGACGTGGACGTGGACGTGGACATGGACGTGGACGTGACATGGACGTGGACGTAGACGTGGACGTGGACGTAGACGTGGACGTGGAGATAGACGTGGACGTGGACGTGGACGTGGACGTGGACGTGGACATGGACGTGGATGTGGACGTGGACGTGGACGTGGACGTGGACGTGGTCGTGGACGTGGACGTAGACGTGGACGTGGACGTGGATGTGGACCTGGACGTGGACGTGGACGTGGACGTGGACATGGACGTGGACGTGGACGTGGACGTGGACGTGGACATGGACGTGGACGTGGACGTGGACGTGGACGTGGACGTGGACATAGACGTGGACGTGGACGTGGACGTGGACGTGGACGTGGACGTGGACATGGACGTGGACGTGGACGTGGACGTGGACGTGGACGTGGACGTGGACGTGGACGTGGACGTGGACATGGACGTGGACATGGACGTGGACGTGGACATGGACGTGGACATGGACGTGGACGTGGACGTGGACATGGACATGGACGTGGACGTGTGGACATGGACGTGGACGTGGACGTGGACGTGGACGTGGACATGGACGTGGACGTGGACGTGGACGTGGACGTGGACGTGGACGTGGACATGGACGTGGACGGGACGTGGACGTGGACGTGGACATGGACGTGGACGTGGACATGGACGTGGACGTGGACGTGGACGTAGACGTGGACATGGACATGGACGTGGACGTGGACGTGGACGTGGACATGGACGTGGACATGGACGTGGACGTGGACGTGGACGTGGACGTGGACGTGGACATGGACGTAAACGTGGACATGGACGTGGACGTGGACGTGGACGTTGACGTGGACGTGGACATGGACGTGGACGTGGTCGTGGACGTGGACGTGGACGACGTGGACGTGGTGGACGTGTGGACGTCGACGTGGAGGACGTGGACGTCGACGTGGACGTGGTCGTGGACGTTGACGTGGACGTGGACGTTGACGTGGACGTGGTTGTGGACGTGGACGTGGACGTGGACATGGACGTGGACGTGGACGTGGACGTGGACATGGACATGGACGTGGACGTGGACGTGGACATG